ACACAGAAAAATGATGCAAGAACACCCGATCACCCATGGGCAAACACTTTTCACAAAATGATCGCTCCATAGCTGACCTCTCAGTACTCATCCTCAAAGGAACCCTGCACAACACCATCAAAAGACAAGCCTGGGAGCTTAAATTCATAATTTTTCTAGATATTAAAATCATGGTCTTAATAAAGACACTGGGTTTATGGCTTATGACAAGAGTCTGTAATCCTGTGATTGGGTGCTAGGCAACAGCAAACAGTCGTCCCAGCTTCTGCTGCAATCAGAGTCCCAGATGGTAACAGGGCAAGGCGAGCGGCTGAGCTGAGGAGAGGAAATAGTCCCAGAGTGGTGTTCAAGGTGGTGGCGAGGAGGTGGGGGTGGATGGACTAGGGGGAGGGCTCCACGCTGCTCCTCCTGCAGCAACAACCACCACCACTCGAGCAGAGATGATACAGTTACTCAGTCCAGCAACAGAGGCACCCCCTCCACGGAGGCCAGCTGCATCTGCAAATTTTGACCTTGGACGCACAAAAGGAACGCCTATTAAAAATCAATGGAAGCTACTTGCCTGCATGCAGGAGCAGAATTCAGTACTTAGGATTTATGGACCAATCAAACAACTTTCATTTGCATCCCACAGAAATAGTCATTGATCACAGTCAGCTCAGTCTCATCTAGGCTTCCTAGGGGCAACTCCTTCATCCCATCCCTAGGCATGGAAGGAACCTGCACACAACGCATTTCCACAACATCAGGGTAAGATTGAGCAGGATGAATGGGGGTGTCTATGGAGGCATTCCACCAAGTCCTCCATGACACAGATCACAGCTTTGTAGGGGCTCCCTGTGACCCCAAAATAAGGGTGTGGGGAAGTTTTGGAGAAGTGTGAGAGTGGGCTGGGAAAGTGACAAAGACCTGGCTGAAGTATCCATAACTACATGGCTCCTATCAACCATTCCACCCATGAAGTTCATATCCAGCTCTAGGTCCAAAATTCAACGGGGTGGTAGGATCTGAGGGTTTTGCCCAGACCCTTTTCTCCTTCTCATGTGTCACACTGATGGTCAGTGAGAATCTGGTGGTCTACATAGGACAATGTGTGAGGTGGCACCAACACAGACATTCAGGATACTGCTCTCACAGACCACTAGCCCTTTGCTGGCCCGAGCTAATGTTTGGCCTGGTAGATATGGGGAAATAAGGAGGCAGGTGTAAGGGCAGCAAATGAAAGAAAACTGCATGGACATTCCACATGCTGTGAATGTCTGTGGAATTCGACAACATGTGGGAAACAAACTGTCTGTGGCTTTCTGTTGGCCCTGCTCTTTTAAGAGGAAGATGCCATAGGCTGCTTTCTGCGCATTTTGACACCAGTCTGGGCCTTCTATTTTGGTGGGAGTATTAGAACACTGTAAATAAATGTCCCAGAGCCATAGAGTGTCCATAGCTCAAGAAAGTGCCCTGTTCCTTAACACGTCTTCTGCAGTGAATTCTGTGATGAAAACCTTTAGACTACATCTACACTACACACCACTAGTGGCAGCATGTAGTGTACGTGTAGCTACATGCCACAGTGAAAAGCAGGCTGTGTCCACACTGTGATGTGTAGCTACAGGTGTCAGTGAATGGCTTTGGCAGAGGGGAGGCAGCAGGGAAAGGTTCAGTAGCTCCCCACTGCCGGAGCCTTTCACTTTCTGTGCTGCTGGAAAGGCTCCGTGATGTTGCACTCCATTTGTTTTACGGAAATATGCTTATGAATATGATGTAACTGGAATATGCTTTATGCAAAAGGTCTCTTGCAAGGTATCATAATAAAGGTTATAACCTACTGAATATATTCCTCCTATTTGTATGCCTGTATCATTCTTGTATCTGAAGCTAGAAATATGAAGTATAACTCTGAGGTCCTATTGTAATTATACTAAGTGTGGGCCATTAATGGTGGTTTAGAATCTTGATGGCTCCCATTGACTAGACCAATTGGTCATAAATGGTTTATTTACCTACATGCCTTTCTGTGTATGTGTCGGCCAACCCAGGAAGAATGGAGTCTAGGGGGGTCTTACAGTGACATGTGACCATGTCACCTGATAATGGAATCCATCTTAAATCTGGTACTTTTCCATCTAGAAGGAGGGGCGGGGACCCAGAGAGACAAAAGATTCCCGCCTTGTGCCAAAGCTATAAAAGGAGGTGGAGCAGGACAAAGGAGGCTGCCAGTCATGAGAAAACCCCTCCTTACCACCTGAGATGTCTGCTGGAACTAACAAGGACTGTACCAGAGAAAGGATTGGGCCCAGACTAGGAAGGAGTCTAGCCTGTGAAAGAAGCTTATTGGAACATCTCTGAGGGTGAGATATTACCTGTAATCAGTTTCTTAATGTATTAGGCTTAGACTTGCATGTTTTGCTTTATTTTGCTTGGTGACTTACTTTGTTGTGTCTGTTATTACTTGAAACCACTTAAAGCCTACTATTTATACTTAATAAAATCACTTTTGATTATTGATAAACCCAGAGTAGGTGATTAATTCCTTGGGGGGTGGGGGAAACAGCTGTGCATATCTCCCTATCAGTGTTATAGAAGGCGAACAATTTATGAATTTACCCTTTATAAGCTTATTACAGAGTAAAACGGATTTATTTGGAGTTTGGATCAGACCCTGAGTCTGTATTGCAGTAGGTTAGTATGTCTGGCTCAACAAGACAGGGTTCTGAAAGTCCCAAGCTGGCAGGGAAAATGGACTCAGAGATAATTTCAGCACATCAGGTGATAGTCCCAAGGGGATCTCTGTGACCAAACCCATTACAGGCTCTAGCAAAGTGGAGGTAGTGGACACTACATGGCTGAAAATAGCAGTATAGACAGGGAGACCTGGCTTGGGCAAATACAGAGACAACTAGGGTACGTACTCATGTAGGTACCCATACCCTTTCAGGCGTGTCTTCACTCACTGCAGGAGATGGGAGGAGAGGCAGTGTGGCCTAGTAAAAAGAACAGTGGACTGGGACTCACAGTTTGTCTATACAGGGAACTCAGAAAAATTAATCCAAATTAACTAAAGGTGTGAATTTGAAGTGGATTGGTTAATCCAGATCAAATCCCTGTGTGGATGCTCTTATTCACAATTTCGGTGGTCTTAATTTGGTTTAGTTTAATTCACTTTGGAGTTCATACCTTTAGTTAATTCAGATTAACTTTCCTAGATGTTCCTGTGCAAACAAGCCCTCAGCAAACCTGAGCACCATTCTTGGCTCTGCCACTGGCCTGCTAGGTGACCTTTGACAAGTCCCTCCACCGCTCAGTTTCCCCATCTGAAAATTGGGGATAATGGACCTCCTTTGTAAAGTGCTTTGAGATCTACTGATGATAACAGCTAGGTATTATTATTATGATGCCATTAGTCTGACCGATTTGATCTTTCTATACCTACACATATCTATATAACATGCAATAGGGTTTCCCTTCTGTTCCTGACCTCTGGCTGTAGTAGAACCAAAACAGAAAGCAACAAAGTGTGATGCTTCCATTGAAACATGAATCTACATGTAAAAAAAAAGTGAGAATTCAACTTTCAGATACAACAAAGATAATTCAAACAAAACTATCCATTAGGGCTTGCAATTGGTTAGCACAATTTCAAAACCCATAAAGTTGAACATGATCAACTATCAAATTTATAAAGGTATTAAACCAATTGAACTTTTTTTGGAAAAACATTTTCTCAATTAAATTTCAACCAAAATAATTTCCACTTGGTTGAACATTTTCTGTTTTTTAATGAAAACTAGAAACTAAAAAAAAAAAAAATCAGTAAAATTGTAGGGTTTTGTCAAAATGTTGGGTGTTAGTAAAAATGTTTGATTTTCAAATACCTGAAAAAAAAACCTGCTGTAAAACTGAAAAATTTTCATTGCAAATTTAAGAAAAACCCTCAAAAGTTCTCATGAAAAATACTGGGCATTCTACAATCAGCTCTATTTTAACCCCTATCCACACTAGAACTTAAAAATCTATTTTTTAAAAAAGTGTTAGCTAACGCATTTTCAAACATCACCTAGTTTCTTGATCTAGACTGGGCCAAAGGCATAATGTGTGTCAGAGTTGCTTCAAAGTAAATCCGCTCAATGGGGCAATTGTTTAGTCTAGAATAAATTGTATAGTGAGATGTAATTAATATATGCAAAATTCTCTATTGTGTACCTTAATCTGGCACAGATCGAGCCAGGCTGTTGCTCCACCCTGGGCTTCACCAAAACAGCAATGGCTTCCCCAGAGCTAACTGTACCCCAGTAGTCAGACCAAAGGACAATAAAAAGATATTTGAGGAAGAGATTCACTTTCTCCTAAATCAGACTACAGAACCTCTCCAGATAGACAAACCCACCAGCTTATATTGTACACCAAAAGGTTATGTCATGCTTACAGAACAGCTGCAAAAGATCATTAGAGTGAAAAAAAAAAACCCCTCAAAACCTTCCACCTGTAAAAAGGGTAACTTAATTAAGGTTACCCTAGATTATCAGTCCTCATTAATTTGAAACTGTCACAGTAGAAAATTAATTCTTAAAATTAAACATAAACCCAGCCACTGAAAGCCACTACAAACATAGGGCCATCTCTTAGCTGACTTCAAGTGAATGGAGCTGTGCCAACTGACACCAGCTGAGGGTCACAAAATTCTGTTCTCCTTTCACTGTCAACAGTATTATATCAGAATAACTCCACTAGGCTTGCTTCTGAACTCACACTGGATTTATGCTACTGTGGCTTCTATAGCTTCAGAGGAGTCAGTTGGGGGAGGGATAGCTCAGTGGTTTGAGCATTGGTCTGCTAAACTCAGGGTTGTGAGTTCAATTCTTGAGGGGGCCATTTAGGGATCTGGGGCAAAAAGCTGTCTGGGGATTGGTCCTGCTTTGAGTAGGGAGTTGGACTAGATGACCTCCTGAGGTCCCTTCCAACTCTGAGATTCTTAAAAAAAAAAAAAACAGAATCGGGACTACATACTCTTCAGCACCTCCTTCCTGTATGCTTCCTCTTCGGCCTCACTATGAGGCTGGGCCACCCTGGGAATGAGAGACAGGGACAATCAGAAGCATAAATAATAGGAGCTAAAATACACTCCAAAAACAAGAGGCATCCTGCAGCAGCCAGGTGTATAACAACCATCTTACACCAGCAGCTGCTTGTCTTTCCCAGATTTAAAAGGCCAGTTACCAGAAAAGAAAGCTGAGAAAGGGCCTTTTAAGGGGGTTATCACACAATCAGTCACTCCTACAGGCTGAATTCCTAAATTCTTGAGGGTAGGAATATGAGTGGAAAATATCCTGAGGTTTTCACAGTTGGGGCCTGTTGTATTTGAAACCGTCATCTCATTTGACATGACTGGCCAGGTTCTCTGGCCATTCCACTGCATAGATCCATCCCTCTCTCCCCCTGCTGGGGAAAACTCCAGCATCAGGGAATCCTCACTGAGAGTAGAGATGGAGGAGCTGGTTCATATGCTACCAGGTAGGGATGGGCTAGGGGAAGGTGTGGCTGGAGTACATAGCACTCTGGTTATGCTAAGCGGACAGTCAAACTCTTAGGGCCAGTTGCCAGCTGATGTACCTGAGAGCAGCCTGTTCGAGCTGTTCTAATATGTGCCAAGGCCATGTCTGGGACAGAAAATCAGGGGATGTAACAAGCTCCTTAATGGGCCCCATTGCTGTGCTCTCTAAAAATTACAGGCTGAGATTTGGAAAGGATCTGGCTGCCCCGTTCAGCGGCATCTATCCAATTTTGGTGTCCAGATCCCCAAGACAGCTTTGAAAATTTCAACCATAGATTTCCTTTTTTAATATTAGCTCCTTCCTGTGCTTGTAAATTTGCAAGCACTGCAGCAAACTGACTAAGAACCAGAATTAAATAGAATAGGCAATTAGCATTCAGACAGATTGTGTAAAATAAAATAAAATAAAATAAAATAAAAGCGTGTATATTGTGCACTCAGGAGAATCTAATTACAGGGCAGTTATTTTTTAATATACAGTGAAACTGCAATCTAACTACAGTTAGTAGTTAATGTGTAAGATTTTGTGGTAAGTATCTTAATGTATAACTGCAGAATGGAAGCCTAATAATTAGATCCAACTGAGAAATGCCAATTATTTTGGGCAGGAAATTGTTTAAAAAAAAATCATTCAATAAAAAACCAAAACGGAAAAATAAAAATCTTTAGTTTTTTGAAAAATGTTTTCTGTAAAAACTTTGGAGTTAAAAACAAACCCCTTACCAAAATTCAAAGTAATACCTCCAAAATTGCACCAAAAACTGTAAAATGCAACTGAAAAAAATTCTGATTTCATTTTTCCATTGAAAAATGGGACAATGTCTATCAAAATGAAATTGTTCAGAAAGAAAAATCATTTTGGTTGAAAAGCCATTTTTCATCACACAGTGTCTAGATGAAAAAATATTAACCAGCTCCGCTGATAATGCCCAGGCTTGGGTCTGATACTTGAACTCATGCATTCAAGTGGGTTAAAAATTAGACAAAATGGGCTTGCCTTTCCCTAGAGTCTATGAAGATCCTTGAAATGAAACAGAGTGGAGGTGGTTTTAGTGAGATGACAAAACAGGCTGGAATAAAGTACAAGCCGAGATATTAACATTTAAACAAACATACACTCAGCCAAAACAAATGATACCTCAAGAATAATTTCTCCTCGTAGCTATCTGGTGCTGACATGATGGATGAAATGTCCCTGGGCTGCAAATGAGGATAGCTTGGTTAAGCAGCTGTGCTGTGCACCATCGGTGTGTGTCTTTTAAATTAATAAGCTGCACACTCGAACACGGTAAGGTAAAGACAGGCATTCTGCCTAAAGTAAGACAAGACGGTCATTTTTAAATATACCAAACTCATGGTGACTTGATCCTATGTCAATAGAAATAAATGTGACTCCTCAGGAACCAGTCTGAAGAATTGCCAAGTATACCTGCTGGCTGCTGTAGAACAGACAGGGCCTGATACTCCATTGCCCTGTAGCTTGGGTAGTCAGTTACATGGGGACAAAGTGAGCACAGTTAGTGTGATGTGCTACCCAATCAGAATCGAAGTGCCTTGCCTGGTGTAAGAGATTAGAGAAAGGGCAGGGCAATGAAGGATCAGGCTCACAGACTCTAGCAATAACGTATCGCCCCCTCTGGGATGCAGATGACCCTGCTTCAGTGGGCTTTTCTAAGGGAGTCCTCTGTCACGCATTAACAGCAAAGGAGCTCATGGGGTAAAACTAAAAAAACATTCAGTATCTAATGGTCTGGATCCTGATCTCAGTTACACCAGCGTAGCTCCTCTCCCTTTGCTGAATTGCACCAGTGGACATAAGAGGAGAACCAAGCCCATTAATTTCCCATGTGATAGACTCTGCTGATTTTAATGTTCATTTAGAAACAAGTGTCCCCCTTCCGCCTCCCGTGCCCTGGACACAAACAATCCCAAACTCTGGGAAAGTTCATTTTTAGATCCAAACATTGTAGTTCAAGTTCATCTCGAGTGGCAAGACAAACCTCACAGCAACCTTCCCCATCTCATATTCTCACTCAACGCTACTGTACAAATAAATCACACTAATCCAATTAGAATTGAATTTATATTTGTAATGTTTTTAGAATAGATCTAGTTTCATGCCATACATTTTTGGGTTTATGAAATCAAGCCAGTTTGTATATTAAACTTTATACTAAAAGTGGCTAATGGAAAATCTTCTTTGGTTCGTGTGGCAGATTCATGCATTTTCAGCAGAGGAATTAATTTCTTTCCCTGGTATTGCCATGAAAATTTGAATTATCCATGGTATGTGGCATAGGCCACATGGTATGTGACAACTGTGGAGACCTAGGTAGCCAGTAGGGGTGAGTGGGAAGCAGATTTCCCATCCCTTGAATATTTTTGAGAGTTTGACATTTTTTCCTGTTTGAAATCCAGACAAAAAATCAAAATCTAGAACATTTTTGAAATCTGAAAATGTATTTTTTTTAATTTAGAAACATTTTATTTTGATTTCAACCGTTATTCTTTAACTTTATAAAATCTAATTTGCTCACATGCTGAAACAGTTTTGAATTGGTAACCTGGAATTTTTCATTTCAGAAATGTCAAAACAAAACTTTTTAACAATGATAACATTTTTTTCTACATTTTTGCGAGAGTCACAGTTTCTGTTTCAATGAATCAGCATTTTTTCCAAGGAAAAAAACATTTTGTCAAAAACTTCTTGACCGGCTCTAATAGCCAGGGACTTATTACAGTATGGTTCTTGTTTTCACTGTGCATGTTTATGTGCATATAACTACACGCAGAAGAAAAGAATAGCTAGAAGTTACAGAGCAGGATAGGATCTTAGGAAGTTTGGATTCCGTTCTTACCTAGCCAACCATAAATTTTGGCAAATCATTTAACCTTTCTATGCATCAGTGTTCCCATCTATAAATGAGGATATCAATACCTACATATCTCACAGGGACACTGTGATGCCTAATTCATTAATATTTGTAACATGCTTTGAGATCCATAGCTGAGAAGTACTGGTATTATTATCATCACTACATAAATCTAAGTTACATCCTGCACACACTAACACCCATTGTACTATTATTATTTTTCTTTTGGGGGGAAGCAGCTTATATACGATGACAAATTTATTCCTCAAAATTTGAAGAAATAATTACCAAATCTGTCTCTGAAAAACTCAAGGGTTACATAAATGCTTAGGGTGAAATCTTGTCCCCACTGAACTGCCCATGGGAGTTTTGCCATTGACTTCAATGTGGCCAGAATTTCACCGAAAGTATTTGTTTAAAGAGAAACTACTTCTTTTTCCAGATAGTTAAATAAACAATCTGACTTGATTGGACTAGGTCATTGTGATGCACCCAATATGAAAGCCTTACTTAAATAGTGCCATGTATTGTTTGCATCCCATGGGCTGCTAGACCCTGACCGGGTGTAAATCAGCATCCGTTAAAGTCAACAGAGTTACACCAATTTACATCAGCTGCGTAGCACATCCCACATTTCCATCCTGGCAGCAACCACACACACAAAGAGCCATTTACTGCAATGCTGCCATGTCAGAGCAAGAATTAAAACCTGGTAAAAAAGGAACCAAAATTGATACAGGCAGCATGACCAGGATGGTGGGAGCTCCATTAAAGTCCCTTTTAAGGATCTTTACCACTTATTGGGTTTTTTTCAGGGTTTATTTCTTAAAATTGATTCTTGAATAATGACAATAGGTGGGATGGAGGACCCTGAAAACTGGAATTTCTCCGCATATTCTAGCTTAGCGACTCGGCTGGTGCAAACAGTCAGTGCCAAGCTGATAGAGATCTACTCCAAACTAGCATTGATTGTGACATGATTCACTGAGGTCAGAGTTTATCTTTATACAAGGACAGTCATTTTCCACATGTTTTGTTCCTGGATTTTGCACTCCAGAATAGTGTTTTCCAGTAAGTTTCTCTGAAGTGCTTTAGCAGGAGAATGGAATCTCAAGTAACATGGGAGACCCTGACCAGATGAAAGGAGCTAACTGTGCTGGGAAAAAGAAGAACAGGAGTACTTGTGGCACCTTAGAGACTAACAAATTTATTAGAGCATAAGCTTTCGTGGACTACAGCCCACTTCTTCGGATGCATATAGAATGGAACAAAGATCACATCATTTGACGGAAGAAGGGATTCGGGGAAATAAAAAACTGGAGCACAGGACTGGATGTTTTTCTTCAAATGTTTTTCCCCCCTGAAGTTTCTGAAACTTGAGGAGATTTTAAAAGCACCTCAGGGATTTAAGAACATAGATCCTATTGATTTTCAATGGGACTTGCACTTTTTCTTAGGTACTTTTGAAAGACCCATCCTAATATACTAAATACACTTCTACAGTCCAGCACTTAACAGGTCATCACACACAGGCTGTACATGTCACTAAAGTTTGTGTAAATGCATTCATCTGAATTTAGCAGTTTGGGCCCAGCTCTAGCTGTATGTATCTTTATAGTCCAGTATCTTTCCCCCAGTGGTGGCTATCACAGCTGCTTAAGATGAAAACACTCCATACTGCCCTTTACCTGGCCAGTTGTATTACCACTTCAAGGAGAAAGAATAACACCCTGATTCAGCTATTCTTTACAAAACAAATTGTGCTTTTGGACAGCCAGGCCCTGTGCTCAATCCTGCAAACAGTGCCTCCTGTGAGTAAACCATCATTGCTCCTGCATTGAAAACCATTCAAATGAATGGACCTGGGGCAGGGAACACTCACAGGTATAACTGTGCATTTGTACTAAGGACAGGTGAAAGCCTGCAATGCTGACTCAGTCCTTATGTAATGGATTAGACAAGAGACCTCCAGAGCTAAGAGCATAAGTTGCTACAGCTTGAGCAAAAGAGCTAGGCCCACACGCAGATGGCTATTACTGACCCATATTCTCTGGAACAGGCACAGACGGCAACACATAACATACCCTGACTAGGGAGTTACGTGGATTCAGGGCCGGTGCAAGGAAGTTTCGCGCCCTAGGCAAAACTTCCACCTTGTGCCCCCCCCAGCCCTGCGACAGCTCCCCGCCCCCCCCACCCTGAGGCAGCCCCCCCCCGTAGTAGCTCCCCACCCCAGCTCACCTCTGCTCCACCTCCTCCCCGAGCACGCCGCCCCCGCTCTAATTCTCCTTCCCTCCCAGGCTTGTGGCGCCAAACTGCTGATTGGTGGAGCGGCGACCATGCGCTCGGGGAGGAACTCTGTAAAAAAAAAATTGGGGGCACCGCTTTTTGGCACCCCCAAATCTTCGCGCCCTAGGCAACTGCCTAGTTCGCCTTAATGGTAGCACCGGCCCTGTGTAGATTCAAGCACAACAACGGGAGTTTTGTGACTACGTGCCGAGGAAGGACTGCGGGATTTGGTCCGATCAGCAACAGGCAGATGTCACGGGTTCGGCTTCGATGAGCAATCAAAAGTTTGGAAGCTAATTCAAAGCTTAATTGAACTATCCTAACCTCCCACGTCTGCTCTTGTTGGCCTGGGCATCACAAGAACAGCAGTTATCACAGTAGCTGCCATAGCCAGTCAGAAACTGGTAGTGCAGAGAAATACAGCAATAAAGATAAACGTTAACTGAACTTTTTTCTACCTCCAAAATGCATCATTTGCATTTGGGGTAAAGGATTAGGTGAGTTTTTCTTTTTACCTGCTCTGACTCACATACCCTCTATATGGAGCTGATCCAATTCTCCCTGAAGTCAGTGGAACAAGTCCTATTGGTTTCAACAGGCATTGGATCAGGCCCTGTACACTACCACACAAGGACACATTTTCAAAGATATGTGTAATGGGTGAGCTGAACAAAAGTGTGTGCACCTGCTGTGGGCACCAGTGCCCTGAACCACCACTGACATCCTGCACCTTGGAGGATTGAGCCGTTGGCTTGTTAACATGTAAGTCAGGTAATTAGTGCCATGTTCAGCTTGCCATTATTATGTGCACCTAGGCCATTTGCACATGCTGATTCAGTTTATGCTCACAAATGTGGGGCTTTGCCGATACATGCAGCAGATACAGAAGAGCCTTCTGTGGTTTACTCCCTGTGCTGGACTGTACAGATATGCTAGAGAGGCCATAAGGTGGGGCAGGCCATTCCATGCAATTCAAGTAGCTTTTCAGTGTATTAGCTGCCTTTTATGTCCCCTTCTTGTTTACTTCTTTTTTTATAT